AAAGCATTAATTTTTTATTTGAATTTTTTCTTATACTTATTGTAAAAGGTGACAAAAATCCCTTTACCTGGATATATAACTAGCTGAATGTAGCAATCTCTCTGCTCCGAAAATTACTACTCAACTAGATTGTATTATCTTGAACAATAGTTACGCATATTCAATAATTGCTAAAAATTTATTTTTTAATTCTTTTTTGTGCGGAGTAGTAGGTACGCCCATCTTAGTCTCAAAATTTTGCTTATGTTCTAAGAAGTCAGCTTCACTCATACTCTCACACTCTTTTTTCCAGTAATTTTGATTATCCTGCATCTCGAAAGCAATCTTGATTCGCCATTGTTCTAATCTTTTCTGAGACATTTGGAATTGTTGCTGTAAAAGAAGGATAAGAGTGTCTATATCAGATTTATTTTTAATGAGAAATTCTGAAGATAGAGAGGTTAAGGATTTGGGTATTTTTTTCTCAACTATACTAGCTTCACTAATAGTAGTATTAACATGGCATCTATCTCGGAAAAGACCAGCAGATTGATTATGGGCTGACGTTTCTAAAGATAAAGTTTTTTCATCAATCGTATTACTAGATAAATCAGAAACTTTATGCTCTATTTCAAGGCAATAGTTCTTTGAGCTTACATAATTATAATCTGAAGTAGTATTATTAGTAATAGGTATAGAATCGAAAAGATCCTGAATCTCGTCATTTATCTTTGACTTATATGATGGAAGAACTGGATTTATAGGGCAATATTTAGGATTATCTAACCTTTTAGCCATTACTTCTTCTTGATTATTAAAACCATGACCATTATATGGCTTTCAATTAATTTGATAAGAATATTTCCAAATTCTTTTTTCTTTAGGTCTTACCAATTTTCGTTCACTTTTTATAGTATAACCACACCAATTACCAACAATTGCATTAATTGCTTTTATAGCTGATTTAAGATTCGGTGTTTCTTTTGCGCGAGATTTAAAGCCAAAGAGTAATAAAGATTGACTTCGAATTTTTACAAATTTCTCATGAGATGTCTCAAATGCAACTTTTACCTGATCATCAGGGAGAATGCGCTTATCATCAATACCTGTGAAACCAAGTGACTGTAAAAGCCCTCGTACAGCTTTCCAATGATTCGCTGAATATGTTTTGTGTAAATCTTTTACTACAGAATCCTCAAAATTATCTTTAGCATTATTGCATGTATCTTCCCATTATGCAATGTCTTTGGCCTTCAATCCTTCTATTGCACTCTCTTCATCATAGTCTTGCTTGTAAAAATGAGATAAACGTAAGAAATATTTTCTAGATTCGGGTAAGCTAAAACGTTCCACAAAATCTTTATTACAGAGTTTATTCCAGTTCTCGATGCTCATACTATTTCCACCATAAAGATTCCACATATAAAAATGCTTAAGTACCATGGTATCTGCAACTGAATATTCTGAATTGAGTTTTAGGAATTCAGCTTCCTCAAGAGTAAGATTTCAAGAATTGGCAATTGTCTCAAAATCTGTATTCTTGATAACTGATACTTCAGTTCTAATTTCATTACAAACTGTTTTACGAATTCCTATAACTCCTCAGCTCTCATCTATTTTTATTAATTTGAGACTTGCCCCAGTACTAGCAATAAGACTACATGAAATCTCGATAAAATTTCTTGCTGAGAGACGTTTCTGATGCTCAATCTCAATAAATGACGTTACAGCTGGGAATTGATCAAGTTTATAGGAAATGTTATCTATATCCCATTCATGATATCCTTTAATTGCTATAGGCAAATCATTAGGCCAAGCAACTGCAAGTTCTGCATGAATATTTTCATGACCTGGTGAATGAGAAAATTCACTGGAATTTTTTTGATAATAAAGAGAAAGTATACGCTTTTCACAATCATGAATTCGGAACATCATCTGAATAAATGCTTCTACATTAACTGGAGTTCCAATATTTGTAATGCCTATAACTATGTCAAAGTGATTAGGTTTCTTGAAAAAAATATCTGCTTCTACTATGTTTGTATAAGCCATACAATCGAGCTTGCTCCAAGTGGTATTAATATCTAAAAAGTCTTTTTTTCGTTGTTTTCCATCCATATCTCCATAATAGTAATGAATCAATAGGTAAAATTAATGATCTTAAATTATCCAGACTCAGAATTTGTAATTATCAAGATGAACAGAGTTTATCCGTAGATAAGTGAGATATTATCATAGTTCAAGTTGAGAGTCTCTCTCATATAGAATTCTCAGCCCATCTGATTGTAGCTATTTTAGATGAAGTCAATGCAATTCAACATCAAATGAATAGTGATTCAAATGCACGAGAATCTGAAAATGCAATACGTGATGTGTTAAGATCAGCTCAACACGTTTTAGCCATGGATGCATTTGCAAATGAAAGTATACTAACATTTCTCAAGGCTTATCGTGGTGAAAATATTCGAGTAATCGATAACAAATTCCAACTGCTTATAGGTAAGACTGTTGAGTATCTTTATGATCCAAATAGTGAGGCTGAAGCTATGCGAATAGGGTTTAAGTATTTGAAGCAAGGTAAATGCGTGGCATTTGTTGTAACAAGTTCTAATATGCCTTGAGCATTAGTAAAAAAAACTTCTAAATTATCTTTCAAAGCCCGTGCCTAAGAGTTTTTTGGTACGAAATCCAGATAACGCAAGACATATTAGCTTTATTCTTGGTTAAATATTTGAGATATTTTCTTAGACCTTTTGTTTTTCCTGTTATTATAGGAGAGCGAATCAAAGTTGTACTGGGTTCTTTGCTCAAGAAATTAGGATAAGCTTCTGGAAAATCTTCCATTTCCTTTACATTAATAACTTCTCCAGACAATTCAGGAAGTAAATGAGGATTTAATACAGCTTTGGCTATTCTTTCATTTAATTCCAATTTAGATTTCACTTTCGATTCTACTTTGTCTGATATCTTATCGAAGCTAAGGCCCTTGTGATCTGGCTTGTACTGTTTTTGCCAATAGCACTTAAGTATAAAATGCCCATTTTTTCGAATAAATCCATAAAGTTGATTTTTTTCATGTTTAACGTCACATATAGGGCAATTTTTTATCAATTGTGCTTCAAAGTTGATGAATCCTTTCTTGATTTTTCCAATCTGAAGCCACCCATATTTTGCAATAACTAGATTGGCTCCTTTACTCAAAGCATTTTCATCATTGATAGATTGAAATTCTTCTTTTACTGGCTCCTCAGAAGAAAAGGTTCGTGACCAAATTACAGAATAATTCTCTCTAGGCTGAACCAGATAATCATCTAACTTTTGAAATCCATTTTTGACAGAAGAAATAGCAGGTCTTTTTATGCGTTCTTCTTTTGCTGATCCAAGGAGCCAAAGACTAAAATGTGATTTGGGAAGACCAACATCAATAAATTTGGAATAAGGTTCTCCAACTAATTCTATAACTTTTTCTGTAAAACCCTTAAGTTCTTTATAATCTACGAATTAAGCCTGAGGATAAATAATATGCCAACTACATTTCTCAGCATTTGACGAGCTTGCTAAAGCAAAAGAATTTAATAAAGGCATATAATCTGATATTAGGCTTAATGCATCTGCACAAGCAACCAAAATTCGAGACATCAAATTATCGCAAGTAATTTTTTCACTGTCTAAAGTAGGGAGCTCAGAATTTATAGGATCAGGTTTTTGCCTTGCATCAATATCGATTATTAAGCGAAGAGACCGATTTCCATCAATACATTCATGTGTATTTGGCATTTTATAAACTTCGGAAGAATGATCGATCACTGTATAACCTTTTCCTGCCGTCTGAATTATATATTGAGAATAAATTTCTTCAGGTTGATATGCATCTAAAAGCGCTGTATTATTTTTGTCAGTATGACCATTGGATGCGAGCCAGTATTTATAAAATATATGTTCTTTATGACCGGGTTTATAATCAAGATCTGTTAAACCCATAAAAAGCCATTTTACTTCATTATATTCGGCTGACTTTTGATTTAAGCACTGTTGTTGTATGCTCAAAGAGCTATGACCCTTTAGGGGAAACAGAGTTTCGAATTTTTGATTCATCGCCCCTTCAGGCCTGCTTGACAATAATGATTCACGAAAATATTTTTTTGCTTCACTAGACAAACTTATTTATTGATTTGTATATGTGTTATTTGTATATGCATGTTGTTTGATCTGATAAAAAGTATATGTAATATAATTTTGAAACTATAATAATCTGTAGATAAATCTTTAAAATAAAAATAATTAATTCAGAAATTTCAGCTGGATGTCAAAAAATATATATACTTGATTGAAATAATTCTTATATACAAAAGTTATGAAGCCTGATGCCTTTTTATAAATGCCCATATATTAATAGGATTAGAAAAATCTGCGGAAAAGGTAGTTATAGACCAGAAGGATGTTATGTTCATTGGAAATCTCCAGTACGTACTCCTTGTAGAGATTGTGGCAAGTTAAATGCATCCATTCATAATGCATGTAGTAAACACATAGGCAAGTATCAAAGTAGAGAAAATTATCACAGAAAAAAGCAAGCTGAATTATGTGCAAAAATTGCTATGCTTGAGAATAATATATCCAACCTATCCAATTCTATATATGAAGTATAATCATATGCTTGCCATATACTGATTATTTTTTCCAGGACTCCCGCCTTCTCGCAGTAACTGCTCAAAGCCAGAAAAAGGTAGATAGCATATATTGTACTGATAATATTATATCTTTTTTCCAAGAGACAAAGAGGAAAAAAAGGGCTACGGATTCCAAGACTTTATTTCTGGAAAAATGGCACTTCGTGCCTGATCGATCTCGTGTCTTATTCGCGTCCATTTTCAGATAGAATTATAATTACCACGATATATTCAATTTTTTTAGGTAAACACTAGAGATTCTAACCGAGATAATTAATTTTAATTTGAAAAAATAAGTAGGCTAATGTATAATCAATCTACTTATCGATATATATTATTTACATATCTATCATGACAACCATCCTAAGAACTAGAAAACCCAAAACTAATAGCTTTACTTCCATTTTGGATCAGATCCTCAATAAATACAATCTATCTGCCAAATCAAACCCGCTTCAATTACGTGCTCATGCCGATGAGCTTGGTACTATGCTACCAGATTGGAAGGCTCATAAAGATGTGAAAGAGGCTCTTCGCCGGCGCCTATTCAAAAACAATCAAATAGAAGCTCTTGTACCGGACAAAAGGGGGAAAAAACTTACTATCAAGAAAAGAGCTCAATATTGTGCAAAAACTAAAGATGTGTGGGATATTTGGTTACATGCTTTAGACTTAGCTGTTCCAAAAAATAATACAGATGAGGCGATTGTGGCGGCCAGTTCCTATTTATCGCAATTTCATAAAGAATTAGCAGAAGCTGGAATTGATCCTGAGCAAATTAATACATATGCCAAATTACCAAATGTTACTCAAGCTTTTAATAAAATTCAGAAGAGAAAACTTGAACTGGGATTAATCAGTCGATCTAAAACACCTAAACACTTCTCCTTAGAAGAGGGGCTTGGAAGACTTCAGAATATCCATACCACTGAGACCCTCACTCTACAAGATCTCACAGATGTGATCATGATATTGAGTATGAGACCTGCTGAAGTAACTACTCTTCGCATTATCCATTATGAGCCTAACGAATCAAATTCTCCAGAATGGTATAATCCCAATTACTCTTGGTATTGTACTGGGTATATTAAAAATAAAGGAGAAGCAAAAAATAATTCTGAACCTCAACCATTTCTATCCATGGAAAAGAATCCAGAACGTGCAAGAGAATTGCTTATCTGGATTCAAAATGCAATAGTGATTGGAAAGTTACGTGATCTTATCTATAGTATTAATAGAAAACATAGTACAGGTATATTTAGTAAATTTTTAAAGCCATATGGCATTACAGCTAAAAGGTTAAGAAAAATCGGAGGTAAACATGCTTCTAGAGTTCATGGTTGTCAAAATTCAACCTCACAACATCTCGCTCTCCTCAGCAGGATTGCAATGAGACATAAGATAGATCGTCATGATTCTGGAATGTATTATGCTGAGGGTGATACTTCTGATTCTGACCTTGATGCAGATCCAGAGCCTGAACTAGAAACTCAAGCTTTCGCACTCACGCCAATTAATGAGAACAAGTGATTATCTGATATATTTATATTTTAAAACCGCTAAATCTATATAATTATTTTCACTATCTCCAGTAATCGGTGAAGAAGAATCCAGATTTTTTATCCAATATTTAACAATATCAGATACCTCTTTATTGGTAATATTGGGTAAAATTTTATCTACCATGAAAATTTTGTACTATGTTGCATTGTAAGTTATTGTGTATTTCATAATATAATAAATATCAATTATATACCGCAATAGCGAATTCCCATATTTTACGAATTCGTGTATATGATACATTATATTTTTTAGCTAGATTCGGTAATGTATTTGCTGAACCCTTGGCAATAATTATATCGCTAATTGCTTCGGGTGATAAACATGTAGCATCTGATCTTAATTTTCTAACTATTTATATACGCAGAAAAAATATTATCATAATAAAACATGTGAGGATTTTATCTTGCAAAATTAGAGTGAAGCTCATTATTTCATAATACAAAGTATCAATTAAACTATATTAGATACATCTGAAATAGCAAATATATAATGAGTTATAGTATAGTACGAGATAGGTTAAGTGAATATGGTATAAATTACATCATTAACAATATTAAAACATCAGAAGCATAGTTACGGTTTGCAAAATATTATCCACCAAAGTATGTACGCAAGCATTTATTAAAACTAGGATATGAAATAAATAATAGAGATTACTGGGAAAATTTTGTATTTCATATCAAAAATAATTTGACCAGCCATAAACAAATAGGCAATGACCCTAATTATAGGGATTTTAAAGTTCAACTAGCATTATATAAAAAAAATTGTGCGTCATTAATTATCCAGCAGACATGTCATTTATGGAGAAGACAAATTAATTCCACTAAAATAATCCAACATGCAGTAATTAAATGGCTATATCGACCAGGTGGCACATTAATGAAACAAGCCAAAGATCGATATTATTGTATTGCAGGCCCATAGGGGTGACTCAGAGAGTCATGAGACTTTGTCCTTATCAAAATGCGAATCATTAGATAGAGCAGATCTTATTTCTTCTATCTGAGAATATCGTACAAATAAGCATACCAACTGTGTCCACATTCCAGAGTAGTAATTTATCTAATCAACTATAATAACTGAGAGTTGAGGAAAAAAGGGTAAAAATCGATACTCATTCATTACAATATCAATCATCCCTTCTTGGTCTGCTATTAATTCTCAAAAAAGCTATTTATTCCAGCCTTCTCGTAACTTTATCACTCGAAGTCAGATTATTGCAGTTTACAATGTATTATTATCTTTAGACACAGAATGTGTCCTGCTTCACAGACTGGTTAACTTATATCTTTTTTCGAACTTGAGAGAAAAAAGGGACTGAAACCTATATACTTGGAAATCTGATCACGTAGTTCATAAGACATTTTTCTTTTCTATAATATGTAATAAAAATCAATTTAATTTGTCTTAATACTAAATTTGAAGCGAGAAAATTAGTAAGTATATGTTGAGATGGGATGTAATAATTAGCGTAAAACAATAAGCCTCAATAAAACGATGTCAAGTATAAATCCGCATATATAGCGGAGGTCTCTTTATTTTTTTAAAAAAATTATCAAAGAAACAATATACAAATAACCACTATGTGACTGTTTTAATATTATTTCTAATTACATATTAAGAGATGTAATCATTATCACTACAATCGTCATCACCGGTTGAATACAGTATATATGAATCAAGAGAGTAATCATCCTTATCTTTACGTCTGTAATAATCTAAAATTGAATCACGGGCAACAACGTCTAGTTTTAACAGAACAAGCACAAAGTGATAATAGAAAAAGAAACCAAATCATTAGTTATCACTTATGGTAATTTTATTTCAGTAGAGCGGACCCAAGAAATTATTTGATAAAATAAGATGTAAACTTATTAGATATGGGATTATACAATAGAGTAACAGGAAAAGCCATCTCGTATATTTTATTATCTGTCTTGATAACGTTATTATTCGCTTTGGGAGTATTATTATCGGTATTGGAGGTATTGAGAACATTATTATTCATTTTGGGGGTATTATTATTGGTCTTGGAGGTATTAAGAGAGTTAGTCTTAGAGTTGTTAGAATAGTTGGTCTTGGAAGTATTACTTTTATTGCTCTTGGGGGTGCTGGATTTATTAATCCTGATGGTGGTATCATTAGAACTGCTCATTTTTATGTCTCTATATATAAAAATAACAGTAAGTATGAATATATTTTATATTCTTAATTAATAGCGATATATTGAATGATGGTACATTACTTCGAATTAGCACTATAAAATATTATTGGTACTTACCTTACAAGAGGAAAAAATGATGTATTTTATACCATCCAAGACTATTAAATCTATTCCAAAATCAAATATATTTTTGTCATTTTTTCGGTTAACCACTTAATATGATTATCTTTAGTAAAACACGACAATCTCACTGGCGGAGTAAAAAAGTTAAGGATCATGACAATCTGGGAATTCCAAATCTCTATAACATATGATTTTCGATAAAGCTACTAATGAGAATTGATAAGCCCATTTCCTTATGATTTTTTTAAATCTAATTCATGGTTTCTTGCTGAAGGTGTGCTAATAGTGGTAAGGAAAGTATTATATATCGTATTACGTATTTAACTGACAAATAAGGGATTGATATAGAAGTTAGTACAACATAGATTATCACTTTTCCATTACATACTAGTTTGGGAAAAATATATATATATTAAACATGCTCTATGATAAGAACCAGCGTAAACGAATCTCGAAAAGGTGATAAGGAAGGTCAACCAGATAATCTTTATTAGTGCGTATATCAAAGGACTTATGTCTTGGAAAGTCGAAATCTCCGCAATCTCTGAGATCATCGTATACTTGCCAATCTATACGAGTTGCGTAATCTATATACTATAAATAGGAGAACGCTAAAGCAGGGTAGTGAATTATATGTCAATTCGAATTATGTAAATCCAGATCATGTCAATCTGAATTTACCTATAAAGTTGTATAACCGTACACAATATATTTCGTCATTATTGCAAGGTAATTTTTTTTGTTTTTTGTTGAATGGTTGGCGGGGGAATAAAAATAATAAGGATAAGGATGGATAGGGGATGGAATGTCAGTTAAGGAATAATTATGTTGATAACACAAGCTTAAAAATACATTCGCATAAGAAACGCAAAAAAAAAAACCAAATACATTCGCGCAAGAAATGCAAATCTTATATTTCAAGCTGTGTTTAAGCTGCAAGAAACACTATAAAAATAACTCATATACGCACACATACACACACACACGCGTACACACACACATGTACACACAAACCACACGCACACACAAACCACACCACACACCATATACCACACACCACACAGCATACTACACGCACATCATACACACACATACGCATACATACATACACACACGTGTGTACATCTTTACACCTCGAACAAGACTTCTAATGCAAGAAATTATTAATCAAAAATGTGCGAGTCTTTTTAATGTTAATAACTCCTTCGAAGTATCTGAAAAGAAGTTTCGTGAAGAATTATGGCCGCTCGTATCCAACATCTGGATGCAATATAACAGCTGGTGATCTCTTAATAATGATTTTTGGATTGTTTACACCTGTCGTTTCTTAAAGCATCACGAATTTAGTACGTAAAAAGTAGGGATCCCAGTTGAAAAGAGGAGAAAGACAAGTAAACGCGATCCCAACCAGTGTGATGCCAGAATTAAAGTAACACATATTGCCACAACACAAATGGTACGAATCGAATGCTATAAAAATGCTCCGGATTATACACACCAAATTGAGGATATTGATCAAATAAAGCAGCCAGAAGTAATCAGACAGCTGGTGACTAATGAAGCAAGCAAACCATATAAACCACCAGCTATCGTCACCACAATTAAGGAACTTGCAGTGAATAAGGGACTTGATACTATCACCCAAAAATTGCGTTGAACTGAAGTGGTGAACATTTAACAAAATGTACGCAAATCACTAACTAAACATCTTATAAGCGAAAAAGATCTTGAATCCAATATCCAGTATACTTTGAAATTCCTAACCAACAAAAATTATCGAGTTGAGCGCTTCGAGATCATGCAGCAATTGCAAAAAGTATTGCAAGATCTCTGCTTTGCAAATCGTAATCAATTGAAAAAATTACAATGCCATGGATGGCTAACTCTTATAGACTCGACACATAATATCAACAAGCACTTGTGGCGTCTTTTCATCTTATATATTCGAGATGGTTTCGGTTGCTGGAATGTGGGCGCATATTTTCTTGTTAGTAAGAAAGATAGCGATACAGTAACTAAGGTGTTAAAGGTGATTCGTCAATTTGAACCTCATTGACTTTCTCGTTATATGTTATGTGATCAAAGCAATATAGAAATGAATAGCATCGCAAACGTCTTTCCTGGTATTACATGTGGCGAACAAAATTGTAATGTTATTCTTTGTACCGTGCATATTATGTGAACATAGCTACGTAAAATTTATCATCCAGTAACACGCAACCAAATGATCTTAGCCATGCATAAAAAGATGAATATTGGTTGTGAAGAGATTATTAAGAACACTGTTATCATCTGTCCTGTTCCTGAAATTGTTCATTATATTAATCGTAATTACACTAATAATACAGAAAAATAGGCACTTTGGGCACGCCAGCACTCTCCTCTTTTATTGCAAGTCACCTCAACGAATCTACTAGAATCCTATCACAGTGAACTCAAGAGAATAACGGCAAAGAAATACAGATTAATAGGTGAGATGCAATTTATTATGTGATAATTCCCTTTAAATTTTCCGAGCTTACTAGATCACATGATAAATTACGTTTTTATTGTTAATAATCTGTTCTTTATTATATAATTTAGGAGCATGTTTTAAAATTATTGAACTCGATGACAAGAAATGGGTTGATTTGGAAAAAACAGCTCTTAACTTTTGTCAAAAACGTATCTCTGTAATTGATCTCAATAATGAGATACTTGAACAGATACATAAGTTTCCCTATCCCATTCAAAAGTTAATTATAAGTGAAGCTGTAGTTATGAACGCAAGAATAATGAAGGGAAAGCCATTACCAGATCTACAAATACCCCAGTGTAATTGTATATTTTTTCATCGTTATTTGCTTCCGTGTTGACACATCCTTCATCAACATATTTTCAGTTCTAATAAGCTATTAACGGTTGAGGTTTGGAATAAATTCCAATGGATGTTTGAAGAGGTTGGTTTTGAAGTATATGAACATCGTGAAATGATTGAGCTACCTGAGCCAATTCAGACTCAAGTGGAAAAAGAAGCAGAGATACGAAGACTTCAAATTGGTGAACTTATGGAAAGGGTGCGGGACAAGTATTGGGAAATTGAAAATGAAGGCGATGTAGAAGCAACTAAGACATTTATTACATGTTTAGATAAATCGTTGGCTTCAGTTTTTAATAATAAAAAATATTAAATTTAAACAATTACATATATATTATTATTATTATACATTTGCTATAATTGTCTCCGTATTCCTTAATCATTATTAATTTTTTTGTATTCGCTAATTGTCTTCACTATTATTATCCGATAATATGTTGTCAATAATTACCTTTCACATGATACAAATAAATCACATGATATGATCTGGATCAAATTCTATATCACGTGAGACTATCCGGCTTTAGTGGACCCCCATGTATGGCAATTTTCCACCTTATCCCCATTACTTCCCCTTTCACATGTATAATTATGGTAATGGAAATTTCAATAACCTACCTAATTCAGAATCCAACAACGTGATTGATTGCCATCACATTAGGAGATCCCACACTACACAGCCTCACCAATCTAATCAGGAAATCTCTTTGGATAACTCCAAGTCTTCCACAAATCCAAAAGAAAAACTCTCACGAAAGAAACCTTCTTCCTATGCCAACGCTGCTAGATATGCCTTGGGCAAACCAACTTATAATATTGCAAAAGATTATGGTATCTTTCTTCAAACAGATAGTGACTTTCCTCTTATATATGATATTTTGCAACTTTAACTCATCCTGGACAATCAACTTATTTTCTCCTCTCATCTTCAATTTGGCACTGACGCGTTTGATGCCAAGCTAAAATATATTCATGGCAAACGTACCTATCTTGAAGTTGCTTTTGCTTCTGAAGAATATCAACTGAAATGGGAAAATAAAATTCTCGTTATTGCTGGCAAAAACCTAAAAGCTCAAAGAGCTTTCTCTAACCAAAAAACTTTCTTCTCTATCACTCTTTCCGGAGTTCCTCTCACCCAAAGTGATGAAATTACCTCTACTATCAAAGAAACCTTCAATAAAATAGGAAAAGTAGCCATTATCAAACCCAAACTCTGGGAAGGCACTTCTCTTTGTTCAGATAAGTGGTCAGTAATCTTCGACACTACAACCCAAGAAGATCAACTCACCTTCTGTACCAAGATTTCTAGATCTATCAAAATCAAGTCCTCTAATATTTTCGTAACCTGGAAAGCTGCTCCTCCTTTCTGCACTTTCTGTGGCAAATCAGGTCACAAAAGGGGTGACTGTAAGAATCTTCGAAATGCCAATATCTCTGTTGGAAATCCTGATTCTAACCTCTCCAAATTCCCTAACAACTCTCATAAACATCAACCTCCTGTCGAACGATCTTGGAATAACGACATCTTACAAACTCAACAATCTCAGCCTTCAGATACGTCGACTGCAGAAATTATCATTCTTTCCAAGGATTCTCCTAATGCTGACAACAATCTCTCTTCCCCACAATAATCTTCAACCAACCATACACACACTACTTCCTCTTCCCAGGATGACTCCAATCAACTCACCACTACTCAGGAAGAAACAGTAGAAATGGCAACCTCATCTAATGATGAACTAGACTTTCAACTAGTTCAAAACAGAAAATCTAAAAAGAAATCTTCTCAACCTCCCATCAAGCAACACAATACTCGATCCAAAATCTCTTTTCCTAAATGAATCTCCAAATTGCTACTCTTAATGTGAAAGGTCTGGCCACCTCTCACAAATTCTCTAATACGGCCAATCTTCTTAAAACATATAATCACATTGATATCTTCACTTTACAAGAAACCAATATTCAAAAACAAAATATCTCCTTTGTTTCTAAAAAATGGTACTCATTCTCCTTCTGGACTCCCTACATTGCTATTCTAATTAACAATCGTAATATCAAAGTTATCAACACCTTTTCAACAAATAAA